TTTTTTTAATTATAAAAAAAAGATTAAAACTTTTTTTTAAATGTTCATTTTATTTTTGACAGAGAGAGAGGGAGAGAGCATGCATGCGAGTAGGGGAGAGGCAGAGAGAGGGAGAGGGAGACACAGATTCAGAAGCAGGCTCCAGGCTCTGAGCTGTCAGCACAGGGCCCAACGTGGGGCTTGAACCCATGAACTGTGAGATCATGACCTGAGCTGAAGTCAGGCGCTTAACCGACTGAGCCACCCAGGTGCCCCAAGATTTTATTTTTAAGTAATCTGTGCACCCAACACGGGGCTCGAACTCACAACCCTGAGATCAAGAGTTGCGTGCTTTACTGACTGAGCCAGCGGGGCACCCATTGTGAGGATAGTTTTGATGCCCTTCTTCTCCATCTGACAAGCCCAAAGTTGGGGATGTGAGCATCCCAATCTCTCCCCCACCTCTCACTCCTCTCCACGATGACCCTGCAGTAAATTCAGTGATAGCTGGGCCCAGACTCTGCAGTCTTCAAAGAAAAGAGGACTATTGCATTAATGGAGCATCCGGATGCAGAAGACAAGCGGAGGCACACAGAGAAGGAAAGTGTGTTACTGACAGTGTAGGAGACCTTCTGTGGGGAGCAGGACTTCAGAAGACCACAAGATTGGAGCTCTCTCTCTCTCTCTCTAGTTGCTCCCTGACTGGCCTACCCAGGAGGGAGCAGCCTTTAAGGAAACTGCCAGAAAATGGTAAAATAAGACTTACTACCTTCATGCCACCAAGGTAAGTAGGAAGGGCAGGGAACAGAGACATTTCCTGGAGAAGAATGAGGCCAGCACACGTATCGATCAAAGGTCCCGTTACAAAAGATCCCTGTGGAGAGAAAAGGTCCAGAATGAATGGAAGTGTTGGAGCATCCAAGCCACTGATGGAGGCAGAGGTGCCCAGGAGCCCAGAGCGAGCCCCCTTCCTGGCATGGGAAGCTGGTGCATCTTGCTCAGGAACTAGCATGGGTATCCCACTGTCCAGACGGTCAAGGTTGTGGAATGGTGTGGGGAGGAAGGAATCAGCTTAGCGCATCCCCAAGCACTGTGACTCTGTCTACCCAACCTGACCTCTGGCCCTGGTCCCATCAGCTATGTCAGTGTGTACGTCATGCTGATGTTGGTTTGTTTTAACACGGACTGAACTCTCACACAAACTCGGGGTCAAGAGGACACTTGGGGATTCAGCCAGGGCCTTCTGTTCCATAATTAACTAAAGAATCGTCAAACCTTCATCAGTTAGATCCTGGAACACCCGTACTGTGAAATGTGCAAGATGGCCAGTGGGTAGACAGGGAGAATTGAGGTTCTCGGTTACATGTATCTGACCCAACCCCTATTTGGTCATATTTCTCCATTCGAAGACCAAGCCAACAATCATTATGAGATATCTGCACCATCTCAAATTCAAGGGATGATTTACACCCTGGCACTTGGCAATGAGAAGATAAAAACCTACGATGCAGCCTTATGGGCCTCCTGGAATGGAACGAAGGGGTTTCAGGCCGGATCCCAAATGTCCATACTGCAAGCGGCTCACTCCTGGGAGCCAAGCATCGTTCCTATCTGCTTCCTATTGGGTCTGGAACGCAAGGGCCACTCAGGTTGAACAGCCACGTTCCTGGCGTCAGGACCCCACAGACACAGATCTGCCAGGTTATGAGCTGGCTCGGGCGTCTCGTGGACCCAACTGCCAAGTGTCGGCACATGGTCTATGTGAAGCAGTGCTCACCTGGCCGAGCTGCTCACGGCATGACTTCAAATAAAGAGGACTTGTCCTACTTTGATTTCAGAAAGCAAAGTATTTAAGCATTCCCCAAAGTGAGGGGTGGTTCTTGTAACAGATGTCAAGCATCGACTGCTACCAGTCCGGGCTGAAAAAAATATTCAGAGGGAGAGGGGTATGGCTTGAAGGCTGGCACTGGTTTTGGGTCCGGAAAAAGAAGAGAGAGTTCATGATGTCCTGTCTTCTTGTGGGCCCCTAAATGAAATACTCTGAAAGCAGCCAGAAGGATAAGGAGGGGCCGGCTTTCATCATTACAAAAGTTAAAAAAAAAAAAAAAAAAAGAGTCTAGATGCACTCAAAGAGTCGGTATGAGGGCAGGAGAGGCCATGGACTGATCAAACTATTAGCATAGTTGCTAGAACACTCTAAATCTACTGTAGATCTGGATTAAGAGAAATGTTAAGACTCAGATTCAGATAATACCCTGGGGGACTGAGGACTTCCTCCCACCCACCTACCCAATAGAGTCCCAGGTTAATCTATGGCAGTTGCTCACGTCATGGTGGTGAGTGTGCTGTGACCAATGGCTTTAAATAAATAGTCACATCTATGAACAACATCTTGTCTCATATTCTCTTTTATAATAAGAGGTGGGAGTCTCTCTTCCCTTCCCTTGAACCTGGGTAGGCCTTGGTAACCATCTGACCAAATTAAACATGGAGGAAGTAGCTTCTGAGGCTAGATCATAAAAGGCAACATGGCCTCTGTCACCCGCCATGCTGTGAGGAGCCCAGGCGGTGTAGACAGGCGGTGGGGAAGTGTTATGGCCAACGGACTCTCAGCTGGGAGCCATCATCAACCAGCAGACATAAGTGTGAACAAGCCTTCAGATGATTCCAGCCCTAGTCATCGAGTCTTCCAGCTAAACTTCAGATACTGAAGAGCAAAAACAAGCCATCCTCACTGTGCCTGGTCTGAATTCCTCACCCACAGAAACTGTGAGAGATCATAAATGATGATGATAATGATGATGATGATGATGATTGCTTTAAGCCACTAACCTTTGGAGCTATTTGTTACACAGCCATGGGTAGCTCATACATGTGCTTACCAGGAGGTTCCTTGAGTAAGTCTCTCAGACACTTCTCTTTGTATTGAGCCCACTTGCGAGTTGTGTCCTCAAGGAGGGATCCTGTAACCTGGGCAGAAAACACCACGGTGACCACCAGGTTAGCCACAAACACAGAAGAGGCCTCATTAGCATTTTGCCATGACTCTCAAACCGTCCCACTGAAGGGACCCTCCTGCCCTGCACTGAGAAGCAGAACTTCTTCAACATCTCATGTCCCATCTTACAGATGCACATGGATTTCGCATTCACTCCCTGATCTAACCACACTGGTTTTAGTACAAATATGGAAGATTTTTCTTCCGCCACAAAATCTTCAACTGGGGTTGACGTTTCAAGAGGAGGCAACCCGCTCACCCTGAATGGCACGCCCTGGTAGATGAATATTTGCACGTTCCTAAGATTATGTGCATCTCAAAGAGAGAAGCATTGTACCAAGAAGGGCCCGATACTGTCAGGGAAAGGCTACGAATTTTAGGGACCTGTGCCATCCCACCTAGCGGCCCGTGGGTCCAGAGTCAAAGATTGGGTAGACAGATGCTCTGCTACTAAACTGAGGCCTTGGGAGTTTTTTTCTTTCTGACATGACTATCTCCTCCCATAGAGTCTTAAAAATACAGCACATCTTTTTGGGCTTTGCAGACAACAGAGTTGTCCAACAACATCTAATTGAGTATCCGTACCACTGCTTTTGTCTTTTGAACAAAACAAGGGGTTTTCTCTTCTTTAACTTAACTCATCTTTATTGAGCACCTGTTGTGCGCTAGGCTTTGCATTAAGGAGGGACCGAAGGGGTGCAGTGATGAGCAAGATACAGCTTCTGCCCTAAAGGACTTCGAATCTGCTAAAGATAAGACAATTGTGTAATTGGCTGGCATGCAAAGTCAAGTGCCATTCTTATGCCATCATCCTCTGCTTCTAAAGAGCCTCATCTTCTAGTGGCTCAGTATCGGCACCATTGGTCATGAACCAGAAATGAGGAGTTTTCCTTGGCTCAACTAAGCACCAGATTCTGTCCTAAGCCTCTCTCCTGCCTAACCCTGCCTCCCACTTCTTCTGCCTCTGACCTGGTCCACACTGCCCCCAAAGGGATAGGTCCACAGGGCTCTCCTGCATAAGGTCTTCCCCTCACAGCCTGTTGACTTGACTTCACATCTCAACCACCCCCAGCTCAAGCCTCTCGACCCCAGTCATGCTTTTCTACGACTTTGGAAAACGTCCTCTCGTCCACCCTCGTCGTCAACCTGGCTCACTCCTTGTTCGCCCCTGTTCACTCGAGACTAATGACCCCTGATCATGCTTGACCACCTCTGTCACTCAAGTCTTGAGCTAGTGACCCTTCTCCCCAGTGACCCCACACATAAACAAGTCCTATGGCCCATTGTGTTGTATTGTCATTGGGGCTTGAATTGTCCAACCCCTTCACTATCCCATATATTCCTTGAGGGCTGACATACGTCTTTTCATCTCTGAATACAAGATCCTAGCACAGGGCAGGAGCTATTGTCCTCAGTTTCCCCCAAATTCCAGCTAAAGAAACAGAAGCACAGGTGTGGGGCAGAGTTGGGGGTGGGGCTGAACACAGGAGGGGTTAAATATGTGATATCACACACACACACACACACACACACACACACACACACACACAGCCAGCACCACCATCACCCTCACCCCCCACGAAAAAACCCCAACCACCTATGAGCCCAATGGGGCAGCCAGTTTCCACCTTCTGAGTAATTAGTCCAATCTACCTTCTCTCTGCCCTGCGTGGCCCACCCCCGTGTGCTATGGAATTCATGACGGGGTCTGGGAATAGTTCCTTCACATTTTTTTTTCCCAAAGAATCACACGGCTAACTTTTTGAAGATTGGTATAGTCATTGTTAGACTAGGGGTTCCCAAACTTTCTCAACTCATGGCGCCCTCAGTGGCTCCATCATTTCCCCCACAGCACCCCTAAGCCAAAAGAAATGCCTAAAGTCCCATTCGTTTAGTAGGTAGGGCCAAACAACTTAAGAAACTTTTGCATCCTAGCAACTTTGTGCCCACCGGAGATTGGACAACCTCCCAAATCTGGGAATCAGATCGGACACAGCCATGTTTGCACCTGTTCCATACTGATGTTTGGGTGGTCCTTGCTTTTTATGATAGCATCTGCAAAACACTCCCAGCTTTGTAGAGATCCAACATCATCAAAAGGAGAGGAGTGTTACCGAATACTGAAACTATGAACTACCCCGAGCCAGGTCCGGCAGATGTCATGTATAGCTGGACTTCCCTTGAAAAATTAAAATGTCTTACAGCAGCCCTGTGAACTCACAGCGGTGCCTCGAGGCACCTTAGCACACAATTTAGAAACCATGGGATTAGCCAACAAGTAACAATGATAATGATAATGAGGAGGAAATAGTTGGCATTTATCCCTAGGCAATAGGCTTTCAGTCTCCCCTTAATATTTTCTGTCTCTGAGTTGTGGCAAGAATCAAGATGGAAGTTTATTAACACATTAAGGAAATAAACATCCTAACAGGACCATAGCGGACTCTATATTATTTTCCACAAGTTCAGCACATAAGTTGATAGCCAAATTGTCAGCTTCCAGAATCCTGCAGGCCGCCGAAGTAAGACCCTTTCTTAGATAAAGGTGCTGTTTATGTCCTCAGGGACTTCCCCGGAACTGGCCGAGGAAAAGACAATAAAGTCAGTCAGGCACGTGAACTGTCCCTGGATGGACATGACCCTCTCCTCCTGCCCTATGCCATGACTGATGGCCACGGCTAAAAGTGCAAGGAGAAGAAGGGGGAGGAGGAGGGGAGGAGGCGGTGGAGGGTGGGGGAGAAGGAGAAGGACAAAGAAGAGAAGAAAAAGAAGAAGAAATCTACAAAGCACTGAATTTGGTCAATGTAGGGGAGCTGGAAAAACTCAGACTGCCTTCCCAAGCACCTGTCCTAAAGATACAAGGAACACAAGACGCAAATCCAAGTTCAATCACAGCCCGATTCAAACAGAATAGAGGCAAGGCAAGAACACGGATGGATGTTTTCTAACTGGAAAAACTGACTCGATCTCGATTCTTCTTTCCCTCTTCCCTTTCTCACAGGCAACCGGCATCAGCGACTAACTTGGCTGAAAAGAGAGGAAAAGGAAAAAAAGACCTTCTGTTGACGGCTTTAAATACACTTTATTGTATTCTTGGTTCAAGAAGGCATCTGCCTCTCTGTCAATCAAACAAAAATTACAGGAAAGCAAAAAGGGGAGAAGGTGGAATCAGAATCTTATATCAGAAAATACCATCTCCTTCCGGACTCTTCTCTCCGTGCACATGCTTCCGTTTACTTTCTTCTTTTTCTTTCCCCTTTTATTTTAACCAAAAAAGGAAATCATCTTGCTTTGTGTTTTCACCGGAAGATATAGGGTGACTATGTATCCATTTCAAGACCCATACTTCTAAAATGCCATTTAAACAGCTACATAATGTTCTATGAACACATGTGATATAATTTTAAATCTTCCAGCATGAAACACTTGCACTGGCTTAGAGGCTTGCTAATAGGAATGATGCTGCACCGAAAATATTCACAGTTAAACATTTGAGCACATCTTCATTTTCTTAGGAGAAATTCCTTCAATTGGAATTTCTGGGCCAGAGAGGATACACATTTTTAAAGGGTTCTGGTAACATAGCGCCAAACTGTCCTCGCCAAACTTTTTTTAATTTAAAAAATATGCACCTTTTTACACTCTCATCAGCAATGCACGAAAGAGTCACAGATTTGTTTCTCCAAGAGCCTTCGATAGAGAGTTCATGTTTTTTAAAGCCAGAGCAACTGCTAATTCACTTAAATGAGCTGGGGTGGGGGGGTGGGGG